GCCTGCCCCTTCCCGCCCCGCCGCTCCTCCCCGGCTGCCCCGGTCGAGAGGACTTGGGGTGGGAAAGCTTTAAACTGTCCGGTTCCTCCGCTCCTTCTGGTACTCGAAAGGGGCAGATCGAACCCGTTATTCCTGCGGGAGTCACGTCACGACCTGCTGGAGGTCCGTCCCCTCCGCCATTGTTTCCTGTCCTCTCCTTGTCTGCCCTGTTGAAATCGGAAAGATGGGATGAAGGAAACGAATTTTCCTCTGCTGCTGAATCCACTAGCGAAATTCGAAGTTTTCTACTGTTAGAGAGGAGAAATTGGAATAATTGGGGAAATTTTAAAAAATTTGACTGCAAATGTATCAAGATTAATGAAAATGAAGAATGTGAAAGTACTGAGGAAGAAGTAACCACATGTGTATTTTATCGTATCCTCCGTTTTGTTTTTTTTTTTTGGCACGCATATGTGTTAAAAATTTCCTGGAGGCCAGTTGTTCTCACACCTTCATGGCTGACATCGAAAGACGAGTGCCTCTCTCTGAGAGTGGACGATCTGTGCACAGAGAGTCTCTTCGGCAGCCATTTCCTCATCACTTTGATGAGTAATAAAAAAGATGCAGTATGTTCCGCTTTAGCGGAAACTGCCATATACCCAGGCGCCATCTTCCTCCTTGGTGCGTTCCCTAACCAGTTAAATTTCATGTGCTGAGAGAAGGCAGACTGCCAGAGAACAAAATACCGGGTCCCACCGAGGAAAGAAAGGGAGTAAGGCTGTTGAGGGGGAAGCAGACTAAAGAAGAGGAAGGAGGGAGGGAGATTTCGAAGAATCGCTGGAGAGAGAAGGAAAAGAGAGTGGATGTGACAGAAAGGGAATGAGAGAGAGTGGAGAGAAGGTCGGGAAGAGAGTGCAGGTGGATGAAACGAGCGGCAGGACTTTGGACAGGGGATCTGTGGGGTTTAAAATTAAAATCGTGGAGTCGGTGCCATGACAATGAGCTGGGCAGTGGCCACGCATGAGCGTAGTTTTGTCTCAAAGTAACTTGTTAAAACCTCTTGAATTATTTTGTAGGAGTACATCAGACTGCACTCTGTGATTTTACTTTTATTCTACTAATGTAGCTCTGACTGTCAAGGAAAATATAGTTGGTTTGTACACACTATTAATACCTCTTACTGAACTTTGAACTGTAGTAGAGGTTAAGTAGCTACTATTTTCACACGTCTGTGCTATAAACTACTCCTACGTAACTTTTTTTTAAAGCTCAAGCTGTGTAATTAGAAAACTGAGGAGAAGGGTTAATGTGCTTTATCCCTTGGCAGTTGTGGCTTTAACGTATGAAAGCTGAGAAAGTCATCTAACAAATGAGAAACTGAGAAACTCATCTGACAAATTGGAGGGCTTTTTCAGTGTTTCGTAAAGTTGGTCTCAATAACTGTATGTAAAGGGGTCGAAAGTTCTGTTTAGTTCTGTTTGAGTAACCGGGAAACAACACGCTATTGCTGAAATCAGTACAGCTATGGATGTTAGATCTTTGCATTTATGGTTTTAATTTGTTTGCTTAATACTGTTTCACTTTGTTTTAACATGTTAAGGATAAAACTTCTACAGCTTAAGACTTGCAAGGATGATACTGTTTAACAGGGAAGCTGGTTTTCAAGTAACTAGAGGAGAGAGGATTTTCTCTCTCTTTCAAAGCAAAAAGTACCCTTCATTTGTAGAGCTGAAAATAGTTGCAACTGGAACGGCTTAATGTATTATTTTGCCATTATTGGAACAAATTTGAATTAGCTAATTTCACGTGGTAAAAGAAAATTTTGAACCTGTTGCTATTCAAAAGTGAATGTGTGAAGAATATTGTTTGTAGCTGAGGCTTGTGAGAGATGTCCAGTTTAACTTAATACAGTATAGCGGTAATCTTATAGTCAATGATCTTTGGGGTTTTCAGATTACTCCTCTGCTCTGAAGTTGCATACTTCAGCCATCGGAAGTTATTCTGAGCAATTTTTCCCACATCCACTGTCAGCCTGGAAATAAAAATTTGACATATTTTTTTGAAGTCCTGTTTGCTTTGATTATATCTAAATAAAAGGGGGGAGATGTTTTTCTCAAGGTACACTTGTGCCTTCTTTGTCTTATTCCCTCCTTTATACATTTTATCACCCTGTGACTTAAATCTTTGTTAAATTATTTAAAAGAAACCTTTTGTGGTGCATGATTTTTTTTCACATGGCTGCTATAGTGGAAGCATTTATTTAGTATCTCTGCAAATACTCTGTTTGCTAAATGTCCACGCTGAAATTAAGGACATCTTTGGATTTTCATTTCTGTTCCACACTTTGAGATGAAAAAGCACTAACAGGGTCCCCGAACTGCCTCGCAACACGTCAGGGAGAAGAGCCAAACTTCATCTTGTCCATATTAGTCAGGATTTGAGGGATGTGAGTGTGTTGTCTATACTGTGATGAAGTGAGGAGGAGCAGGACTCACTGTGTTGGCCTCCAGACCGTGTTCATGGCTGGTCACCCCCAAAAAAATCCAGCTGCACCAGCTGTGCTGGGAATAGCAGGTGTAGAAAACATAGGACCTCGCTTTCCTGAATGGCGGGATGCTTCTTGACACTGACTTTATTTGACAATAGAGATACATTTCTAGGCCTTCTGTGATTGCAGAGGAAAGCGTGGTAAAGTCCCAAGCATGGTGTAGAGAGCTTCCAGAAGGCAGCCTAGCAGAATGCAAGTGGACCAGCAAGAAAGCTGCCTACTGCCAGCGTCGTTCTGGAGCAAACGGGGCTTTCCTTGTACACGGCAGGAGACTGAAGCAAAGAGCCGCTCCGCTGCCGGAGCCACGGGATGCGAGTGAAAAGCAGCCCCAGGGGAGGAGAGAAAAATGGTTTTTGGCTGGATTGGCTCTCTGACCTGACTGACCACAGGGCCCCATGGGAGCAGGAGCTTGCAAGGGGAGGGAGGCAGAGAGGCACAGATTGCAGTCACTGGAAGGGACAGTCTTAACTGCGAAAACCACATCCTGAGGTTTTTTTAAATAAGAAAGTACAAGATAATTGACTCAGCTGAAACCAGTTTGTATTCTGTTTGTGTAAAGATGCTGCAAGGGTAGGAAGTATGAGGTGAAGAATTGGTAGCTGAAGCTTTTTTTTTACTACTTTATTCCTGGTTTTGTTGTGATTCTTGAAGGCGAAAGTGAGCCAAGGCAGTTGTTTCCTTTGAGAGAGATACAGCAGTAACACAGGGAGATTTTGCACATACTCCCAAGTATGAGACTTCTCTTAAACCATATTGCTGTGCCTTGGGCTGGGGTCTACGAGAGGCAGATGATCCTGAGTTGTTACAATGTCTGTGATAACTGGAATGAATTAAGGACCTAAGAGTGTGGTGAAATTAAACCCTCACTGCTATCACTGGAATTAAATTGCAGGTCAATTGTATCAGTGTACACAAAGTCTAGCTTTATGAACGCAAATTAATTTTCAGGTTTACAATAATACACCAATGTATGATCGATGGTGGATAATGCAGTCCAGCATCCAGCTCTTATTCACCTGTCTATTTTCGCTATCGCAGAAGGAAGAATTAATTTGGTTTTCTCCGATTTCTCTCTTTTTTTTTTCTTTTTTTTTTTTTCTTTTTTTTTTCCCAGAAATATTGCTGACCCCGAGGGTGGTTCGGTTGCTCCTTTCTTCAGCTGACTGGGCTTACGGCCCCAAATCCTTACCGGTTTGAAGAGCTGCGTCTGTTTGTCGTGACCCAGCTGAGCCGCCAGTGGCGGGGGGGGGGGGCGGCCGGCGGCGCG